AGACAAATAGGACATCCAACTTAAAAACTTTTGCCTGTCAAGGGGCACAACCAATAGAGTGAAAAGTCAGTCTTTGGAATGAGAGAAAAGATTTGCAAATCATTTATCTGATAAGGGGTCAATATTGAGAATATATAAAGACCTCCTATAATAAAAACAAAAATTGAATAACCTGATTTGAAAAAGAGGCGAACGGCTTGAATTGACATTTCTCCAAAGATGATGGACTAGTAGCTAAAATGCACAGAGAAAGATGCTCAACATCACTAATCATCAGAGAAATGCAAATCCAAACCACAATATCACCTCACTCCATTATCAAAAAAAAAAGAGAGCAAGCAGGGACATAGAGACGTAGAGAAACCAGAGCCCTCGTACATCGTGGTGGGAATGTAAAATCGTGGAACTGCTACAGAAAACAGTAGTGAGCTTCCGCAAAATAATGAAAAACAGAACTAACATATGATCCGACAGTCCCACTCCTGGGTATGCACGCAAAAGAACAGAAAGCGGGGCCTCGAAGACATGTGTGCACACCCGTGTTCGTGTTCGTCGCAGCACCACTCACAACAGACGAGGGGTGGAAACGACCCAGAGGTCCACTGAACGGATGGGTGGACGGATAAACAAAACGTAGTGTGTACCTACAAGGGAATGTTATGCAGCCTTAAAAAGGAATGGAGTCTTCAACAACGGAAATACGCTTAACACTACTGAATGGCACACCTAAAAATCATTGAGATGATCAATTTGACACTAGGTGTTTTTAATCACGATAAAAAAAGACAACTGAGACAATCAGGAAAAACTGAACACAAATTCTCTACACAGTTAATTGCATTTAATCCTGGGCTCACCTGTCACAGATACAACTACTTAAGCCTGAAATGGAGGGGGGTGAAAACACCTTTATCGAGAGGTAGAAGGCCGGGCTTCCAGCCCCAGATCTCCTACCTAGGTATTAAATGATTCTAAAGAATCTCTATTACCAGGGCACCTGGCTGGCTCAGTCACTAGAACATGCGACTCCTGATCGGGGGGTTATGAATTCGAGCCCCACGTTGGGTGTAGAGATTACTTAAAAACCAAGACTTACTATTACTTTTATTGGATACAATGGCATTATGGGTACGCTTTTTGTAAAGTATTTTTGGGCGAAGCTATGCTAAGACTTGGTTCAACATATTCCAGCCAAAAAAGAAACAGTATGAGGCAGCAGTACCTGGGAAAGAACAGCAGGATGGTCTTAATGTTGAAGCTGCGTGATGAGTAAGTACCTGGGGATTCGCGATGCTATCCTCTCTACTTTGCGAATGTTTTTACATTTCACGGTAAGAAAGTTTAAAACAAAATAAAGGGAGAAAAGGGTGCTTGGATGTTTGGAAAGGATGGAATAGCATGAATTTATCACACGCTATTGTTCATTTTTAAAAAGCATTACAGGGGCGCCTGGGTAGCTCAGTCGGTTGAGCGTCCGACTTCAGCTCAGGTCACGATCTCGCGGTCCGTGAGTTCGAGCCCCGCGTCAGGCTCTGAGCTGATGGCTCAGAGCCTGGAGCCTGTTTCCGATTCTGTGTCTCCCTCTCTCTCTGCCCCTCCCCCGTTCATGCTCTGTCTCTCAAAAAAATTTTTTTAAGTCAAAAAAAAATTAAAAAAAAAAAAGCATTACATTTTGGGGCACCTGGGCGGCTCAGTTGGTTGAACATCTGACTTCGGCTCAGGTCATGATCTCACAGCTCGTGAGTTCGAACCCCGCGTCGGGCTCTGGGCTGACAGCTCAGTGCTTCAGATTCTGTGTCTCCCTCTCCCTCTGCCCCTAACCCACTCGCATTCTGTCTCTTTCCCTCTCAAAAATAAATAAACATTAGGGGCGCCTGGGTGGCTCAGTCGGTTGAGTGTCCGACTTCAGCTCAGGTCACGATCTCGCGGTCCGTGAGTTCGAGTCCCGCGTCGGGCTCTGGGCTGATGGCTCAGAGCCTGGAGCCTGCTTCCGATTCTGCGTCTCCCTCTCTGCCCGTCCCCCATTCATGCTCTGTCTCTCTCTGTCTCAAAAACAAATAAACGTTAAAAAAAAAAAACTTTTTTTAATAAAAAAAATAAATAAACATTAAAAAATAAATAAAGCATTACATCTCAACTTGTGTTTAACAAATTAAAAAAAAAAAAGGAAACTAAAAGAAAATTGAAAGAATTTTCAAGCTTCAAGTAAATGTTCCTCACCGCCTCCCCCAGCCAAAACCCAACAAAACAAAGAAGGCAAGTAAACGAGGAGGAACGGAGAACAGAGGTGCAAAGGGTGCCGTGGGGAGTGGCCCGCCAGTTTCTGCCGGGAGCAATTCCACGTCGTGGAACACAAAGCAGGCGTGAGAAGGTGCGGAGTACTCCCAAGGCACACAGGATGACCCTGCCTGATGGCATCCAAGAGAAAAAAGACACAAAGTGCAAGACAAGACATAAGGAAGCTGACATCACAAAGCTCAGGACACGGGGTGAGAAAGAGCCACACTGAAGAAAGCGGCACACTAACGGGGTAGGCAAGTCGACCACCACCCGGTGCGCCGGAAGGTGCCAGAAAAGCGGCATCGGGCAGCGTGGTCTGGTGAAATCCACACAAAACAGAACTGGAAAGGCAACTAGAACGATCCACAAAACAGGGTCGGGTCCCGAGGCAGAGGGAGGGTCTGGAAGTACAGTCACCCCGAGGCCAGGACGGGGCGGCGAGCTAGGCGTGGCACCGTGGAGAAGGGGGTCGGATCCTGGGAGCTGTGGCCTGCCACCCCGCGCAAGGCCACCTCTCCTGTGATCCCGCCGTCTATCAGCCGTATGGAAAGAAAGGCCGGGGTGGTGCTCTCCAAACTTGCTCCCGGCCGCAAGGGCGACGGAACACAAGGGGATACAAAACGAGGAAACCACTGAAATCTCGACTCGAAGAGACACGTGAAACTTGCCTGGCGGGCTCACCGTCAGCATCGTGGCTGCCTGCGACAGGGGAGGTGGCCCCCAGGATCCCCGGGGACTCTGTGTGTCGAACACGGGAAGGCAAGGAGGAGGCTGAAGAGACCCCCTGAGGCAGAATGCGCACGGGACCCAGCAGCACAGGCAAGGAAAGCAAACCCCAGCAGCTGCCGCCTTGACCCTGATCGCTGGCCCCTGGCAGCGGGTTACCCACTCACACTCCCCGCTTTACTGCTCCAGAACAGGTGCCTCCGGGCGCCCATGCCTGACGCGGTTGGCATGCCCCACGTGATGTTTAAATACCGACACCACCCAGTGCCTCCTGAGTGACTGTGCCCCGCGTACCTGACGCCACGCCTCAATACTCTCCCCGTGAAACCATCCTGAGGTAGCTAAGTTATCCTCATTTTCAGGTGAGGGAAACCGCGGCTCAGTGAGGTCAAGTCGCGTGCGGGCCGCTACCTGACCCAGGAGCAGCGGGTGAGCCTCTCCAGGCAGGGCGGTGGAGAAAGACTCTCAATCACAAAAGGGCCACCGCTGAGCCGAGGTCGCCAAGCTTCCCAGTGCAACTTTTTCTAAGAGGAGAGCTTACTGACCTCGGCCTCAGGGTCAAAGGGTATCTGGCCTCTGGCCCAAGAGGCTTGGCCGGCAGGGTGGGGTCACTCCAGAGGGTCGAGAGCCCGGCCGCATGGCACCACGGTCCTATGGCCAGAGCCGCAGGATAACGCTGACGGGGTGGGGGATGGAGGGCTGGGTGTGGGAGCAGAGGCCGCCCAGCAGGGAAGACAGTCCCAGCCACCCACAGCCGGGGCCCAGGGGAAGGGAAGGCCTGGAGGCCCCGACAGAGCACGAAGCCCTGCCGCTCCCCGCGCAGCTCCCAACTTCCCCCGTGGAGAGCAAACCTCAGTGCCTCACAAGACACAGACCCGAACCCGGGGTGAGGGGTGGCGGTGGGGCGCCGGGGAGGGGCACGCAGCCTCCTGACTCTTCTTCCAGGGTAACAGACACCCTACACTGAAACCGGCCAACCTCCTTCCGGGCTCTGGCCCGAGTAATCGTGGACAAATGGAAACCAGCCTCAAGCAAACCACTCTGAAAGACCAGCAGGCTCTAAGCCCTTGTGCGTTCTCTTTGCACAGTCAGATGTGTCTGAATCCTGCACTCGCTTGTAACAGATACAACTACTTACCCACGGGACAGCAGAAGAGGAGGCAGGGGACGCGGCTTCTAGCCAGGAATCTCCTACATACCCTGTCATTCTGCCAATGCCCTACTTCCCTCGGCCTCAGTCTCCTCACCTTCAAACAGGGAAAAGTAGCCTGTCCTTCATCACCTCCCCCAAGCGGTGCATAAAGGGAGCCGAGGGAGGGAAGCCCCCTCTGAGTTCCTCAGCAGCGGAACCCTTAGCATCCCATCGCCTACCACCGTGCTCGTGTGTCTTTCCAGCCCACCCCCGATCCCAAAGGCCCAGGAGCACAGGCGGTAAAAGTATCACTCGAGGCCCGGGACAGCACGAGCCCTGTGTCCCCGCGGGTTTGGCCGATGTCCTCAGTAAAGGTGACTCTGCCAGAGCCAGTGGGGAAAAGAAACCATTCTTCTCCAGTGGCCAGAGGGGCCTCCCTCTTGCCTGTTCTGGCTTACCTGGCCACCCCGCCCCTCCCCCAGAAGCTCCTTCCGGTGATGCTGGAAACTGCCCAAGTCCTAAAGAGGGTTTCAGACCGCCAGTGTTCCTCTCTGTTCTGCTTTCAGAGGTGTCCCTTTCAGGCAACCCCGTTTCGGTGCGGCCCTGTGAGCTCTGCGGACAAGGAGGGCTCACTCCACATCACCTGGAAAAGGGACGCTTGTTCTGACATATGGGACGTCAGTGGCCTCGCAGATACACATAAATAAGCAACTGGCCATCTGCGGAGGAAACCAGCCTGTGCTCGCCATGGCGGCCCCAGCGCAAGTTACTGCTCAAGCCAGGCTTGTGGCCGAGCGTGCGTGGGCAGGGCTGGGCAGCGGAGGCCGTAGGGGGTAAAGCAGGCCACCCGCTCTGAAGAGGGACGGAGGGTGAAGGGCGAGGACTCTGAAGGGGCGCAGGGCCAGGTTCAAGGAGCCCGCCGCAGGATGAGCTCGGTAATCTCTGCCCTGGTGCCCAGTCTCATGGGGATCCCATAGTAGGCGGTGCCCGGGCTGACGTACACAAACGTGGTCTGGGCCACCTGGTAGAGGCCGGCGAAGAAGGGGTTGAGGAGATAGGCTGCCACGTTCAAGGGGAAGATCTGCCCGGCATGCGTGTGCCCAGAAAGAATGAGGCTAATATCCGGCCGAGCCTGCAGGGCTCTCTTGGCAGCCAGGGGCTGGTGAGCCAGCAAGATGGTGGGGCGGTCCGGGCGGCAGCCCCCCAGGGCCTTGACCAGGTCCATGCCGTGGCCGTAGTAGTGCAGGATGTCCGCCTCGATGTCATCCACCCCAGCCAAGCAGATCCAGTCGTCGTCCTCAGCGCCCCCGGGTTGGGCCCCCGTGGCGGAAATCCTCACGTTCTCATTGTGAAGGGGCCTGACGTTCAGGGATTCCAGCAGCGCGAACCAGTTGCTGACGTCCGACGTGTAGTACTCGTGATTCCCCGTGACGAAGTAGGCGCCGAGGCGCGAGCGAAGCTGGTCCAGAGGAGCGACCGCCGTCCGCAGGGTGGAGGCTTCCGCGTCACAGAGGTCCCCCACGATCACCGTGACGTCTGGCTGCAGCACGTTCACCATCCTCACGAACATCTCCATCTTGGTCCTGCCCACGGTGGGGCCCAAGTGGATGTCGGAGAGGAGCGCGATCTTGAGGCCGTCCATGGAGGGAGGCAGCTGATGGACGGGCACCTGCACGGTCTTCACGGCCGGGGGCTGGGCGGCGTTCAGAAGCCCAGCCACACTGAGCACAGCGGTCACTGCCACCGCCAGGGCCGGCCTGACCGCCACCTTCCTTGTCTTGTCGAGGCCGCCCACGACCCTGCCGCTGCGCCAGGCCACGAGCTGATAGGCCTGCTCCATGCCACTGAGGGTGCAGAGGAAGAAGACCATGATGATGTACGCCCCGAGGCAGGAGTAGGCTGCCAAGGAGAAGAGATAGGGCTCCTCGGCCACTAAAAAGAGCATGGTGAAGAAGCTGGAATGGGCCAGGGCCAGAAACGCCACAACCGCCATCTTCCAGAGCTGGAAACAGGCGGATTCGGCGCCCGGGCAGTGGCTGAGGTTGCTGACTGTGCTCCGCCAGATGTAGAGGGAGCCAATGAGCATGAGCGAGTTGGCAAACAGGGCGAGCTGCAGGCGGAACAGCCAACGCCAGGCCCGGAGCTCAAGGCTCCCCGCCAGACAGGAGCGGGACACAATCATGGACACGAAGACAGTGCCGGCGGCCAGGGCAGCCTTTGCACGCAGGGACAGCTGCCTGAAGATCGCCATTTTTCTCTGCTCCTAAGAGGGTCCCCTGCCAGTTCTGGGCGGGCGGGCTCTGGAAGGTGAGCTCCTTAGAAAGGACAGTGGCCAAGGAGAGGTTTCCAGGTCAGCTCCGCCTGCAACCAGGAACCCGCGTCAGCTTTGTGGGATATTAGAGCTTCCTTGTCCCCATTCAAAACCTGAAGGCCACTCACATCTACCCAACCCGCCTGGAATCCAAGCCACTCAAATCAGGCGGTTGCTACACTTGATTATTAAAATAAAGACACAGCGGATTGTAACGTGATGGGCAGTTCTCATTTTCTTACAGTGTTCTGAAAAATATGTAAAAGTGTTTCCACAAAGCACAGGAACTTTTTTGTTTTTATAATAAGAAAAACATTATCCTAAATTTGCAGTTTGCAAAGTGTGGTCTGGGGTGAGCCTCGCAGGAGGATCATGTGGTCAAAACGATTTCCACGATAACCCTAGGCTGTACCCGCCTTTTCCATTCTCATTCTCTCATGAGTGCATAGTGGACCCCTCGTGAGGCTCTGTGACATGTGACCTGGCAAGGACTTGACAGACGTGAAAGAGATTTGCAAAAATGTAAAACAGTGCCACTCTTCCTCCTAAGCTCTGGGGAGAAATATTGTTATTTTTCAAAATATATGTGTGTGTATATATATACAGTTAATATATAGTTATATATATATAAATATAGTTTGTGAACCTATAACGATTATTTCTGAAATAAGTTAATAAAGTTTTAAATTTTCTGTTTTAATTTCTAAGGTAAAGTTAGCCCAGGGGGCTGCCCTGTCCACAAGCTTATCCATAAATGCCCATCTCTCCCTTCCCCCAACCCTCCCAGGTACGGGTTAAAATCTACCCTCCTCCTCTCTCTCTGCCAATGTTCCCGGGGAACTGCTCCCCAGTGCCCCCTGGCCAGTGGTTCTCAAAGCTGCGTAGCTCTCACTCAAGGGCTCCTTCAGGCCTTTACGACAACAAAAACAAAAACAAAAACGGAGCGTGGAAACCACAGACCAGAGATGGAAGTTAGCAAGAACTCGATTTTAGTGATCTTTCCCCAAGAACCCCATGGTCCACTGTTTTCAGCAGGTGTTTTTCAACTACTTAAAATTTTCACCCTTGGTTTTAAAGTATGACCTCTCTCTGCCTAGGCAAGTTACTGAAAGCCTTTTAGCCAGCGGTGCAATTTACAAGCCAATGGGCCCAAATTCCACCACCTTCTACTGAAAACACGCCCCAGCCTCGGCCCACCCAAACTTTCGGAGGAACCACAGCCGGTTCGCCGAACGTGCAGGGAGACAGGTGCCTATTTCGATTGCCTGCCCGCCCCCCACCCGCCAACCTTTCCGCGGCTGTGATGCTGGCCTCCCCAGGCGGCGGTCTGGAGGCCCCTAGGCCCCCGCTTTAGCTCTGACAAGTGAACTGGGGCTGTCCATCTCCCCCGCCAATCTCGCCCGCCCCACCAACTCACCTACTCGCTCCGCCAGACCCCCCTCCAGCAACGCGGGCCACCACCTGCAGCCTACCTCTGGCCCGCCCTTGGCCTGCACCGCCAGACCCTGAAGATCTGGGAAACCCAAGCCAAAAGCAGGCAGCAGGGAGTGCCGAGAAGGGGACGAGATGTTTGAAAAGACAACACTTGGAAGGAAATCAATCCAACGCTCCCATCGCGCGGGCCTCTCCTGACCCCATTTTTCTCCTTCCGGAGCGCTCAGCAGCTCCCGAAATGGGCAAGGGAGGGCGCCTCACGCCAGAGCCCACGGCGCCTCCAATTCTGCGCGCTCCGGAAACCTGCAAGGCTGCAAGGGTCTGGGCGCACCTCGTCTCGCCCCGTCCTTGCACCGACGGGGAAGTGGGTCCAAACGAAAGGGGAAACGCGGGCAGAGCACGCGAGCCGCAGAGCTACCGGGAAGGACGCGCGCCCCGCCCGGCCCGCCCCTGACGGGAGGGCCGGCCCACTGCCTGCGCCCGGTCGGCTGCCTGCCGGCCTGCCGGCCCGCCTGCCTTCCGGGGCGCACTCGGGAGCCCCGCGCCCACGGCCCTCAGGACCCCCGCTGGCCGCCGCCGCAGCCCGGACCCCGCCAGCCTGCCCCCTCTCCTGCGGACTTACGCGCAGGCCGCGCGCAGGGCCCAGCAGCAGCGGCACCAGCAGCAGAGAGAGAAGGCGAGCAGCCCAGGGCAAGTCCATCCTCCGGCCTCTCCGCTCCGCAGTCAGCGCGCAGGCCAGCCGCCCCGCGTCGCTCGGCCGAGGACCCGCGGCCTGGCGCCGCCCCTCGTTGGCCCTGCGGCCCGTCCCGTGCCGGCCCCGCCCACGCCCCGCCCCTCTCCTGCCCTGCAGCCAGCCGCGCGCCGGCTCCGCCCCCGCCCCGCCCTCGCTCCGCCCCCGCTCCGCCCCTCGTCGGCTCTGCATCCAGCCCCGCGCCGGCTCCGCCCCGCGACCATGGAGCCGTGGCCCGCGGCAGGGAGGGGCGCGGAGGAGCCCAGGGGCGCGGGCGGGCGCGTGACCCCAGGGTGGCTCTATCTGGATTTTGCTAGTGGCTGCGGGTGGGACGGTCCCTTTGGACCGGCAATCGGGAGGCCCGACTGTCAGCAGCTTGATAAGGCGTCCCGGGGTTGGACTTCAACCAGGGTCTCCTTGCTCCCTGGCTGCCTGGAGAGGACCGAAGGGGAAGCTGAGAGCCGACACACCTAAGGGGACGGCGGTTCGCGACGGGTGGTGCCTGCACCCACCTGGTACTTGTCATAAATGCAAATTCCAGGCCATCGTCCCAGAAGCTCTCAGTCAGAAACTCTAGGAGTGGGGTCCAGAAATCTACATTTTTGCAAGTGTTCCACGTTACTCCAGCGTATGCAGAAATTTGAGAACCACCGTGCTAGGTCGCTGCTGGTTTTAGAGATTATGGTTCAACTGCGACAAAATCAATTCCAAATGCCAACCCTCCAAAGCACCCGGGTTTGCGGCATTTCTACTTCTGCACGGTTGGGTTTTCAGAGATAGGAGAAGCAGCAGCACCCCCGCCTTTCAGTTTGGCACTTGAGTCCCTCAACAGCCTTGCACCGCAGGGAATCTGACAGCTGGATGTGAAATGATACTGTATCTTTGACTCTTGGGGGAGAACAGTCCCTGTAGCCTCAGTTAAAATCCTGTCCTGGCTCGTTCCCCCTGAGCTCGGAAAATCCCACGTCCTCTTCACTGTCACTTGGAAAGTCTTAGCTTTAATGGAAACTAAGTTGCAGAGGGAAATCACTTTTATTGTTTCTCAGCGTATTTGTTTGTTTATTTAGCGTTTTAATCTTAATTCCAGTTAACGGAATGTTATATTAGTTTCAGGTGTAGAGTTTAGTAATTCAGCACTCCCAGACCTCACCCCATGCTCATTAAGACAAGTGCACTCCTTACTGGCCGTCGCCTAGTTCACCTCCCCTCTGGTAACCACACTAGTTCTCTAGAATTAAGAGCACGCTTTCCCTCTTATTTTTTCCCCTTTGCTTGTCTGTTTTGCTTCTTAAATTCCACATATGAGTGAAATCATATGGTATTTGTCTTTCTCTGACTGATTTTGCTTAGTTAGCATTATATTCTCTAGCTCCATCCATGTCATTGCAAATGGCGAGATTTCATTTCTCTTTGTGGCTGAATAATATTCCATTGTATATATATGCCACATGTTTTTTTTTAAGAGATTTTAAAATTGTTTTACATTTATTTATTTATTTTGAGAGATATATCAGGGGAGAGAGAGAGAGAGAGAGAGAGAGAGAGAGAGAGAAAGAGATAATCCCAAGCAGGCTCCACACTGCCAGTGCAGAGCCCAATGTGGGGCTCAAACCCATGAACCGTGAGATCATGACCTGAGCTGAAATCTTAGCCAACTGAGCCACCCAGAGTCCCCAACCACATCTTCTTTATCAATTCAACAATCAGTGGACACCTGGGCTATATCCATATCTTGGCTATTATAAACAATGCTGCCATAAACATAGGGGTGCAAGTAACCCTTTGAATTAATGTTCTTGTGTTCTTGGGGAAATACCCCATAGGGTATTGCAATTGCTGGATCATAAGGTAGTTCTATTTTGCTTTTAAATATATGTTGCTTTGGGGGCACCTGGGTGGCTCAGTTGGATGAGTGTCCAACTCTGGAGTTCAGCTCAGGTCCGGATCTCAAGGTTCGTGGGTTTGAGCCCCACGTTGGGCTCTGCTCTGACAGAGTGGAGCCTGCTTGGAATCTCTCTCCCTCTCTTTCTGTGCCTCCACCACTCATGCTCTCTCTCTCGAAAAATAAATAAACAAACAAATATTGCTTTTAAATACATACACACATATTTTTAAAATTTCCAGCTTTATTAGTTATAGTTGACATAGCACAAAATTCATTTGTTTTAAATATTTTATTTCGCTAACTCCTTATTTTGGAAAATAAAAGGTAAGGTTAAATTAAGCTCTTTCTGTAAATAGATTCTGTTTCTCTCCCGGACTAGACTTTAGTTAGGCTCCTCCTGTCTTTGCCTGGCCTGCATTGCCTGGTTAAGCAAAGAATCTGACCAAGTCAGTTTAGGAAAAATCCCCCCACTCTTGACACACGATCAAGCTCCTCATCTCCTACCTTTGACTTCTAAGTCCTCGACTTGCCCTTAGCAAGAATGTCTTGATATCCCCTCTTGTAATTTTCCACCCCCAGCCCCCTCACTCTGCCGGTCAGCTATAAATCCCCAGCTGTCTTTGCTCTACTTTGACTTCAAACTTCTCTCTCTCCCTTACTGCAACATCTTGAAGGAAGTCCTCCTTACCCTTTTAACAAGTATCAGAATAATTTTTTCTTTAGCATTATTTTGTACAACTTGTGGATCATTTAAAAATCTGAATTTAGTTTTTTAAAAATGTTTATTTGTTTTTGAGGGAGAGAGAGAGAGAGAGAGTGCACACACATGCGAGCAGAGAAGGGACAGAGAGAGAGAGGGAGAGAGAGAATCCCAAGTAGGCTCTGCACTGTCAGCACAGAGACCGACGCTCTCACGAACCGTGAGATCACGACCTGAGCCGAAATCAGAAGTTGGACGCTTAACCGACTGAGTCCCCCGGGCACCCCCAGGCATTAATTTGGTTTTTAAACGCTGGGAGAAATAACTCTACAAGTCAAGAATAGTGGTTACTTATGGGGATGGGGAGCTGAGATTGGGACCCCACCCATGCAGTGGCTTTTGGGGTTTGGGAGGGTTTTGTTTCTTGAACTGGAGGGTGGTGGTTACAAGGGTTTTCTCCATTAAAGAATTCATTAACTTATTTGTTTTGTGTCAGGTTCTGTATCTGTTTTTAAAATAAGTTAAAAAGTTATATTTTACTTTTAGAAAGTGTTTCAAAAAAACCTTTTCTTATTATGTAACAATAACTAAAATTCCGTTTGTTGCCTCCTTTGTCTTTCCCCACCGGACATTTCCTTGAGAAACAGAGAACCAGTCATGGCTTTCCCTGCTCGGATCCTTCTCATCCCTGGAACACCAGCTCCTTCTCCTTGTACTGGGAAGTCCTTTCCAAACTCTGCGATCCTGGTCCAATACCGAACACCAAGGGCTTTGGAAGTTGGTACACTTGAGTGAAAATCCCAGCTGTGCCTTCTGGGTGACTGTGGGCAAGTTACTTAACTTCTCTGAGCTTCAGCTTCACTGGTAACACAGGGATAATAATATCAAACTCACTGGGTAGTTGGGGAAGTTAGCGGAGGTGATGGATAGAAGACATTAGCACATACAGAATATTAGTAGGACAGCTGATGATGTCAGAATTAGGCCTGTAGGTTAATTTCCTGAGTTTGATAGTACAAAATCTAAAGATTAAACAATAGTTTTGTATTAATTTATTGATTTTGATAGTCGCACCATGGCTATATAAAAGAATGTCTTTGGTTTTAGGTAATAAAAGGGCATCACCTGTGCAAGTCTTAAACAGTTCAGGAAAAAAAATGTGTATATACACACACGCAGAACAATAAAGCAAATATGGTAAAATGTTGACATTTTAGGAATCAACCAAGAATTCTTTGTACTGTTTTTTGTTTTTCTTTCTTTTTAAAGTTTATTTATTTTCGGAAGAGAGAGAACACAAGCCGGGAGGGGCAGAGAGAGAGAGGGAGACACAGAATGCGAAGCAGGCTCCAGGCTCTGAGCCGTCAGCACAGAGCCCGACACAGGGCTTGAACTCACAAGCTGTGAGATCATGACCTCAGCAGAGGTCAGATGCTTAACCGTCTGAGCCACCCAGGTGCCCCTCTTCTTTTTCTTTTTTTAAGTTTGTTAATTAATTAACTAACTAATTAATTTAGAGAGCATGAGTTGGGGAGGAGCAGAGAGAGAAAGAGAGAGAGAGAGAGAGAGAGAGAGAGAGAGAGAGAATCCCACGCAGGCTCCGCACAGAGCCCAACACGGAACTCGAACTCACAAATCATGAAATCATGACCTGAGCCCAAATCAAGAGTCAGATGCTTAACTGACTGAGCTGCCAAGGTGCCCCATGTACCGTTTTTTTTAACTTTTTTTCCAAATCTGAGTTATTGCAAAATGAAACTTTAAAAAAATCTTTTAATCCTTGGCACGTGGCAGATTCAACTTTTCCCACCTTCTTTCCCAGTTTGTAATAAAGACCCACGGTGATAACATACAGCAGGCATTCGTAACTGAATCGAGGCACAGGGGTTGACAAAGGCCAGCAGCCTAATTCTGGCCTGCTGCCTGTGTTTGTATGGCCCGTCTGTTAAGAATTATGTCTATATTTTTAAGTGGTTGGGAAACAATCAAAAGAAGAATAACATTTTGTGACATTTGAAAACGATATGCGATTCCGATGTCCGTGTCCACAAATGAAGTTGTATTAGAACACAGCCACTCCCCATCCTCGACATTGTATGTGTAACTGCTCTATGGCAACAGCGACCTTAAGGCCCACGAGGCCTAAAATATTTTTTATCTGGCGCTTTACAGTGAAAGCTTGCCCAGGGAGTGTAGATCGCAGTTTGCTTCCGAGATTTTAGTACTTGACTTTGCATTGTACTTGAGCCGATGCTTTAGCAGCAATGTGTCACGTCTGCCTCATAATCCAAATTGCTATTATTGCCCGCATTCACAGATGAGAAACCTGAGGCACAGAGGAGTTAATTGACTCACCACAGGGCTGGGTGGTAATGAAGGCTCTGAAGTCCTATTGCCTGAATTTAGCAGGAGTTATTTTTCCAAGGCTGTGCTTCTATTGATACTTTATTTTTTAGTGCCTGCCCAAGTGCGCGTGTAGAGTTTGCTGCTCCAGGTTGTGGGGGACATGAAA